CTCCCACCTCAAGCCGCACCTCCATCTCCTACCGACCAACCTCATCCCGCCCCCTTGACCTGTCCGTCCTCCCTGGACTGACCTATCCCCTCCCTAACTCCCCACCTACACTCACCTTTACTGGCTCCATCCCCACCTCTTCAACCTGTTTGTTTCCTCTCCACCTATCCTGTCCTCTATCCATCTTCTATCCGCCTCCCACTCTCTCCCTATTTATTTCAGAACCCCCTTCCCCTCCCCCTTTTCTGATGAAGGGTCTAGGCCCGAAACGTCAGCCTTTCTGCTCCTATGATGCTGCTTGGCCTGCTGTGTTCATCCAGCCCTGCACCTTGTTGTCTCGGATTCTCCAGCATCTGCAGTTCCTACTACCTTAGAGAACAAGGCTGGGGAAATAATAGGAAACTTGGAAATAGCAGAAGAGTTAAATGAATATTTCACAGTAGAAGGTACTAATAGTATCACAAGGAAAAGAGGAAGTAAATAGAATAACTATCACTAGAGAAAAAGTGTTAGTGAAAGTAATGGGGCTAAAGACTAATAGGTCCCCTGGACCTGATGGGATGCATCCTAGGATATTACAGGAAATAGCTTCAGAGATGGTGACTGCATTGGTAGTAATCTCCCAGCAATCCTTAGATTCTGCAAAAGTCCCACAGAATTGGAAAACTGCCAATGTAACACTTTATTCAAAAAGGAGAGGAGACCAGTATCAAGTAACTCTTGGCCAATTAGCTCATCATCTGTAACTGGGAAAATGTTACAGTCTATCATACAGGATGTAGTAGCAGAGCATTTAAAAATACACAGTATTGACAAGCAGAATCAGGATGGCTTCATGAGGGGAAATCATGCCTGACAAATTTACTTGAATGTTTTGAGGAGGTAACAGGCAGGATAGATAGATTTTCGAATGGCATTTGATAAGGTACCACACAATAGGTTACTTAATAAGATAAGAACCCATGGTTTTACAATTAGTACATTAGCACTGGCTAACTAACAAAAGTCAGAATTTGGATAAGGGGCATGGGATTTTCAGGATGACAACCTGTATCTTTACAATATGTTATTAATGCCTTAGATGAAAAAAGTGAATACAATACAGCCAAGCTTGTGAGGAACACAAAAATAAGTGGGAAGGCAAATGGCCAAGTATAGCACAAAGAACCTGCAGAAGGATAACAGACAGGTTAAGTAAGTTGGAAAACACTTGCCAAATTGAATATAACATGGGAAATGTGAGATTAAGCTGTTTGCAGGAAGAATAGGGGAGTTGAGTATTATTTAAATGGAGAAAGATTGCAGAAAGCTACAAAACAGAGGAATTTGAGAGTCCCTGTCCGTGAGTCACAAAAAAAGGACTAGCATCCAAGTTCAGGGGTAATAGGGAAAGCAAATGCGATGTTATCCTTTATTTCAAAGGGAATGGAAGATGACTTCTATTTCTAGGGCCACTTCCTTAAGTACTCTGGAATGTGGATTATCAGCCTTCAATCCCATCAATTTCTCCAACATTATTTCTTTACTAATACAGATTTGTTTCAGTTCCTCCCTCTCACTGAACCCTGTGTTCCCCATTATTTCTTGCGCATTACTTGTGTCCTCCTTTTTCCTCCTTTGCATCAAATTCCCACCTGTACCAAATTCCCAACTTATTATCTAAGCCTCATTGTGATGCTTTGTGCTTCCACAACCCTTCTGTCCAACTTGTACTGATGTGCATTTCCTTCTGTAAGGAGAGAAAGCAGGGAGGCGGGAGTGTTATGAATGTCTTGTATTCAGAAGAGTGAAGAACAGCATTTGTTGCATGGTGACTGCGAGGATGGATTTGTAGACCTAGGGTTATTGCAACTGATGACTGCTCAGATAGGCATGTGAAGAGTCTACAGAGAGAGGAATAAATGGAACTGTAAGGTGTTTTGACCTAAGAAATGCTGCGTGAAGCAAATTGTGCCGAAATTGTTATTCACCTGTCATATCTTTCTGAAGTCTTAGATCCTCCTGGTCCACTGACTTCAGGTTAGATAAGCCATGTTACTGCTCTATGCTTCAGCCACATCCCACATTACTGCTTTCTGCCTCCTCCCCTCACTGAAGCCCCTCGACTCCTTATGGTAATAAGGGAAGATTCAATAACCAACCTTTCCAGGTCTTCTCACCATTCCTGTGCATGCTGCATCCTAAAAAAATACAAGTCCTAGTGACCATGTTTGAAACGTCTCTTGGTCCTCTTAATTAGAAATCTTCTAGGGACTGGATGCAGTGCTAGAAGTCGCCACAAACTCTGGAGTGTATAGACTATTATAAGGTTCTTTGTCTATATCATGAACACTGATATATTCCATTAATACACCTGACAGCATTTCTGAAACATTTTTTTCCTGGAGAGTTTCATTTTTTCATAGATTAGCTTTTGAATAATAATTGGCACATCTTGCCACATTTGCTCAATTCCATCATGTCATCCATTCCTTCCCATGCAATCCTGTGCCTCTTATCCCATTCCTATATCCGTCCTTTTCATTAATCCCATCTCATTTCTTAAAGAAATAATCTCTTTAGCCAGGGCTCCCTTACATTCTATTTTTCTTGGTTGTCCATCATTTCGACTGGTCTCCCCAACCATTTGGTAGTCGCACATGCGTCAGGTGTTGCAGTTCACCACTTGTCTCTGTGTGCCAGGTACTGTCCATCAAGTATACCCACCAACACATGCAACCCATAAACTGACCAATCAAAACTGTCTAATCACACAACAAAGGCAATATAGGTTATGAACTACACTCATTGTAAGTTAACATCATAAATGTGAATTATATATTGCATTAAATCTTTTTTTGGAGTTTCATAAACTACAGAGTGGGTAAAGAGAATGCTTGGTATTGAATAGCAGATGGTAAGATATCTGTTATGCACTGATAGCTAATTTAGAAATTAGCATTGAACATTGAAAAAGGGACGTTAACAGTAATGACAGTTTAATTTATAACTTGGTGTGATATCTTTTCTGTTACAGGCAATGGGTGGACAGAGTTCCACCTGCTAATTTTCTCCGCGTGTTAATCTGTCTGAGATTAATAATGAGGGATCCATTTTATCAGGTTTGTTCAATAAACTATGCACATTTACCTTTCATTCACTCAATTTATCTGCTTTGTCGACGATTTATGTAGGTGATGTGAAGACTTTTTGTCATTGTGGTATAGTTGCGTTAGTAATTTGAAGCTAATCACATTTAAAAAAAAACCTTCTCAGTCCTCTGAGTGCACTAGTCACTGGCCTCTGACATGCTGATCTTTTCAGTAACTGGATAGTGATTTAGCATGCCATTAAAACTTGCCTTTAAAAATGTCGCAACTTTTTGGTAAAATTTTGCTCTGGTTGTTTTTTCAGTTACTTTTAATATTCCTAAAATATGAAAAATGTGTGTGTCAGAGACATGGACTGCAGTGCTTCAAGAAGGCAACTCACCACCACTTTCTTAAGGGCAGCTAGGAATGGTCAATAAAAGCTGGCCAGCCAGTAAAGCCCATGTCCCATTAGAGAAGTAAAAAAAAGCCCTGAGAAGAATAATATGAAATTAACAGAAGGAAAATGGAGCCAATTCCCCTGTGA